TTTATTAGAAAACCATGATTTTCTAAATATCCCTGAAGATATGCAACTTTGTATATCCAGGCCGCCAACGTTCCCGTGTGGAAAAATTCCTGTATATCCCTTACCCGTTGTAGTCTTGAAATATTTTTTTACTGTAGCTATATAGTACAGCCTAGTCTGTTTCTTTGATTTATCTAAAGCCTTTGATACTGTGTGGCACCGTGGGCTGATGGCTAAGATCGTGTCATTCTCGATTCCAGGACATGTACTGCGGTGGCTGGAGAGTTACCTGTGTGGTCGCTTACAGCAAGTAAATATCTCGGGTCAATTGTCCCACCCTGAACGCGTGTGTTCTTGTGTCCCCAGGGATCAATTCTGGGGCCCCTGCTTTTTCTAATGTACGTGAATGATATCGGTCCAATTCCCAACACCTCGCTATATGCGGACGACTCGACTCGTCTGGCTAGTCACTGGTCGCTAACCGTCGCGTGTCAAGACCTGCAGGTAGGAATAGACTGTGTGGTCAAATGGATGCGAAGTTGGAAACTCCAGCCGAACTCCACCAAGGCCGAGACCATGTGTGTCGTCCCCAACGCGTCATCAGATGTTGCACATCATCAAACCTTTATTTTCCATTTCCCCGATGATCCTAACCCGATACCTATAACCTCTCGTCACTAGCACCTTGGTGTTACACTTGATAGCAAATTGGACTGGTCCCACCATTTCCAGAATCTGGAAAAGCGGGCAAGCTCAGTAATCAGTCCGAGAGATGGCCTAGTTAGGACAGGTGACGTCCGATTGTTGTTACCATGGAAGAGCCTTGTTTGTACGCGTGGTTGAAGCGTTTTGTACACATTTCGGCTGCATTTGGACCATCGATTTCGATTTTTCAAAATGTGGTTTCCACTTTCCAGACCGCACGTGATGCTTCCTCCATGATCAATTTTGATACTGAGTCGAGCAAGTCTGGTCACTAGAATTGCAAGACGGAGATATGGACACCAGACCAGCCGTGAGTGGCCATCGTAGGCGCCAAGTGACAGGATATAGCGGACGGAGCAAGACGGTGGAGTTGCCTAAGCAAAAGAAAAAAGGGCTTTTGAAGAAGGTTTGCTCTCATTAAAAAATATTTAGCTCTTATGGTTTAGAAACGTTTGACAGTCGCATCTTTGCGTATTGACAGTTGCCTTGGAATTTTCCCTGCGACGCTCACTAGCAAGAGTACTAAGAAAGCTTCGAAGAGTCGCTGTCCTAACCGTATATACATTTAGCTATAAGCTGATTTTTGAACACTGGCATACCACGTAAAGTGGAGAACATGTATTTTATGTAATGAAGTACATGTACTGCAGTTCACTTCGAAAAGAACAACTCCCCCCAAAACAAAGGGTAACTTAATTTAGGTAGGTACATTTTAGGTACATTTTTATTTGAATTCGCAGAACCAAACGGGCGGTGTCGCCCAATTACATGGAAGCGAATGGAAACTCTTAAATATTGTAGGAAATAGCCTAACATGATAGCAGGGTGTAGTACAAAGCAAAGAACGCTCAGTCAATGAATAACGTTAACGTTAGAATACAACAACGGGCAGGGGGTAAACAGCACATGATTGGTTCTGTGGAGTACCGCAAACGTTCAAAGATTCCTGTAGTGTTCAGTAGTGGGTGCTACTGCTAGCAAGACAGAACGGGAGGCAGGCTTGTTTGAACTGGTGGTACTGGGTAATACCACGCACGTCGGATGGCAGGGTGTTCCATAAAATGGACCCGCGAGCGGTTGGACGGTCGTGTCCGGCTTTGGAGGCAGATTTGGGCACTCGAAGGCCCAAGCTGCGTTGCGCGCGCGTTGTTCGAGTACTGGGATGCTCCAGAAGGGCTTGCAGTGCATTGCTTGCACGACCATTCGAGCAACGCCAGATCATAATAAGGGTCTTTTGCTTGTGGAGCTCTTCGACGCCATACAGCTGCAGACGAGCAAGCAGAGGTTGGGCGCTTGTGCGAGGTGGCAGGCCGAATACGGCGCGTGCCGCACGGTTGTGCTGGACCTGAAGGCGGGACCGCTGGTCTTGTCGAAGGCACCCAGAGAACGCCACGGACCCGTAGAGCAAATCTGGCATCACAACGGATTTCACGTACTGCTCTCTGGACTTTCTTGTAAGGCAACGGCGGGCTCTCTAGAGTGCTCCCACCTTCTGCGAGGCCTTCTTCACAGCATTGTTAACGTGTTCGTCAAATCGAACGTGCTCGTCTATCGTGACGCCCAGGTACTTCGCATGGGGAACTGCTGGTAGCGGGTTTCCACGGCATTTGACAGTAATGTCTTGGCCGGAAATTCGCAGGACATGGCTTTTGCTAGTGTTCAGGATTAGATTCCGTTCCTGGAGGTGGTTAGCAATCTTGGTTGTAGACGTTGTTAGAACTCGCGATACTTCCTGGCAATCAGGGTGGCTGAATGTAAGAGTAATATCGTCAGCAAACTGCACTGAGATGGACGGACTGGCAATGGTGGGCACATGCCTGGTGTAGATGTTGAAAAGTACGGGTCCGAGAACGGAACCCTGCGGGACGCCACATGAGCATGTGCCACTGACACCAATGGATCCAGCGATTTGCACTTGTTGGGTGCGTCCTTCGAGGTAGTCTGCAAACCATTGGAGTGCAGTGCCGTGAAGGCCAACTTCGAAAAGATCGCGTACAAGAATGTCATGCTTGACTTTGTCGAAAGCCTTCGACATGTCCAGCAAACAAACACCACTGGCTAGTCGCGCGTCCTTTGCATGGAGAATGTTCTCCGTCAGGAGTACCAAAGCGTCTTCAGTGCAGTGGTTTGTGCTGTATGCAAATTGCGTGGTCGGCAGCACGTCGTTTGCCGCGAGGAACCTTGTAAGCTGGCGATGTACTACCTTTTCAAGCAGTTTCGCAACAATTGGTAATAATGACACAGGTCTGTAGTTAGTGGCGACTGTTGGGTCCCCTGCTTTGTAAAGCGGCTTTACCAGGGCGTGTTTGAACGGCTTCGGTAGGCGACCGGAATGCAAGGAGGCATTGAAGAGGTCGCATAAGTGCGGGGCAACAATATCACTGCAGGCTCGCAGCAGACGGCCAGGGATCTCGTCACTGCCTGTAGCCTTGTCAGGATCGATTGTGGCGAGTAATCGCTGTACTGCGGGACAGGTCGTTGGCGTGAGAGCTGATAGTGAGGTGCGGGTGCAGGGACCATGGGGTATCTGTAGGGTGTCCGGACGACTTGGATCAGTGACAATACTATTGAAGGAGCTGCTCACCGCAGAAACGTCGCACACTGGGTCCTGCCTTGCCTTGGAGCGGCCGGTTACCGCGTTTAAGGTTGACCACATTCTCCTTGGATCATGAGAGTGCTGCTCACATTGTCTGGTGAAAAAAGCGTTTCTTTTCTTGCGGATTGCGTTGGATGCCTGAGACCGGGCTGTTTTATACCGGGAGAGTAGGATGTCATTTCCTCTATCTCCTAGCCAGCGCTTGTGTAATCTGTTTTTCTTTTGCGTGAGTTGGTACGTATCCTTGTCGAGCCAAGGTAATCTCGCAGCAGCTCTCTGGCGTCTTGACGAGAGCATGATGGGTGCATGTATGTCTAGAACTGTTTTGAACCCTTCATAGAAAGCCGTCCACATGTCGTCAACATCCATGTGGGCGGATGTAGGATTAGCGCTGAGTGCTTCGGCGAGGTCACACCGGAACTGGTCGATATCAATGTTGCGTAAGTGGCGGCGTTTTGGCGTTGCCTACCTGGACTAGTTGTGGGTATGGCGATATGGAGGTTCGCCATCAACGCGTGGCGGTCGCTGATCGAACATTCCATGACAACGCAACTCGAGACAAAGTTATGGTCTGCTAGGACGAGGTCGATTACTGAACCATGATTCCCACTTGGAGTCGGCCGTGTGGGGGACTTCACCAAATTCGAGATGCCAAACATATTGCTGAGGCCTTGCAGGTGTGTACGATGGTGGCTGTGAGTTGTCATGTTGACGTTGAGATCGCCAATAATGGTCATGTGTGGCGATTGCGCTTGGGCCCGCTGCAGTGACTCTTCAAGGTCCTTCCAGTAGTCAATCCCCACGTCTGGAGCTCGGTAGACGCAGGCCACTGCATGTTGACCCTGGCCGCCTTTGATCGATATCCAGACAGCTTCTAGGCCGTTCAAAGACAGTTCGGGACAAGGTCGGATTGGCAAAGAAGATTTGTAATATATACACGTACCTCCTCCTCGTCTACCCACGCGGTCTGTCCTTGTGAGGTTGTATCCAGGAATGGCTACTTCTCCGTCACCAATAGTGCTGTCTAGCCAGGTTTCAGCCAATCCAAAAATATCAAAGTCCTGCACCTGGAGGAGTGCTGTTACTTCATCTACTTTGAAGCGCAAGCTACAGACATTTAAAAAACCTAGCTTAAGAGTTCGGATGTCCTGGGTGTCCTGGGTGCTCACCGGAAAAAGGGAAGCGGTAGGCTGCATAGCAGCACGAGGCAAAAAGGGATCAGCACGGGGATTAAGAGCAAGTGCAGTAAGTATTAAAAGAAAGAAAGGTAACAAATACTACTCATAGTTAACACTGACGGACCGTAATTACCTTCATTGCGCTAGTGGCTTCCTCTGCGGGCAGCTTCAACTCTCTCTGCCAGCTTCTTGCGCTCACGGTTTGAACACTCCTGAGCCCACGCAATTTGCGGGTCGTTCAAGGCAGAGGCAGGTGGCTCAGTGCGCCCCGAAAGGACAGTGGCGGAGAAGGTGTGTTTGGAATTTCATTCACAAAAGTCGATACCCCATTGAAAGTACAAAAATTGTTCTCTGGTGTGCCTCTAGGCAATGGAGCTGTCGACAGCCACCCAGGCCAAAGTACTGGTGTTGGTGATCGCACCATCTGGCGTCCAACACCTGTACAATAGCCACCCACTACACGACTTCCTTCCTACACTCCACATCCACACATCACCACAACCAACACCCACGACAACACAGGCACCAACACCAGCTGCCTGTTCTGCAAGGAGTGGTTCACTTCAGCAACCGACAGCAGCAACAGTCACTGGCACGGCACCAGTGCAGCAGCTGCAACACCAACAACCACCACCGCCACAACAACAACAAACACAACCACCACAACAAACACAACCACAACAACAAACACAACCACCACAACAAACACAACCACCACAACCACAACAACAAACACAACCACCACAACAACAGGAGGCTATTGAAATGCCACTGCTGCAGCAGCAGCAGCAACCACCACTTGCGGCAGGAGCGCCAACCCAAACAAATGTGTGTATTGCCTGCAAAGGCGGCCCACCTCCCCTTCTCAGGACATGTCGTGGATGTGCACGACCATACCACCACATGTGCCAATCAATGGACGAAGACGAACAAACATTGTGTGACCAGTGTTATCTCGGTAGAACCTTGAAAGAGAAGGGGCAACCACCTGAACAAGAGCAGCAGCAGCAGCAAGAACAACAACAGCTGATACCATTGCATGTACAGCAACAGCACCAGCTGGAGCAGCAACACGTGATACAACTCTACGTACAGCAACGGCAGCAGCAGCAGCAGCAACAGCAGCAGCAGCAGTAATAGTCGCGCCTACTAATGCAGGAAACAAGAAGTGGCAAGACAGAGAAAGAGATGGAGCGCAGCAGCAGCAGCACTCGGACAAGAAGCATAATGCTATAATTCATGAATGAATATACCAGAAGTTCTGGCCGCATGGCATCAGTGATATCAAGATTGAAGAATTACAAGCACACAATTTCCCATGTGGTGTCATTATGAACTGTCATATTCCTTGTGAGGAACTTCCGTGTAATGCCTTCAAGGCCACCATATTGCGCCATGCATTCATGGGCATGGTGCAGAAAAATTCAGAACTGTTCAGCTGCATAGGACGAGTGACGGCTTGACTGAGAGCATCCAACGCACTTCGCACTACAGTATCACTCCAAACAAAGAGAGCAAACAGCACAAGAAAACGCAGCATCAATGTTCATTGAATGTTTTCTTATGTAGAGCATACTGACCGCCGAGCATACTCAACACGCAGCTCGAGAAACAGAACAGTACAGATTACAGAGGTATGTCAGACGCACATAACAAAGAGGAAAGTTGTGTACGAACAACTTAGTTATGAAACCGTTCATCATACATCACTCCCAGAACACCTGCGATGTGCCTCGGAATTCAGCCAGGCTAGATCTTTTTTCCGTATTTTACTACAACTGTGAAACCACCAGTACTTTATAACAACATTTTTGTTCTTAAAATGCCAGTTGTAATGAAAAATCAGGTATGTTTTCATCTACAGTACAACAAATTCGACCCTTAGAATTTCACGGCCCCATGCCCTACCTGCAGATAGACTTGATGTTCCGTCCGCTGATGCTGGAGAGGACATCCAACAGCGACTTCCTGGCGTTTTTGTCCTTCCTTGTGGACGTACTCCCCCACTGATAGTGGAAGGGGTTTCCACACTGGTAGGCCCCAGGAGGAGTGGCACGACGCGAGGAACGTCTGGCCTGCACGTCATGCTTCTGCGACGACATGATCAGTCGGGTCTGGTGGCACTGCTGTACTGGACGAAGAGCTCCAAACGTAGACTGGTCAACAGACTGGCGATCACCAAACTAAAAAAGACGAAGTCTGTGCCCTATTTCTAGTACAGTGTATTTGGGCAAGCAAAACCTCTCAACGAAAAAAAACTACACATGGAATCCACAATTTTTTCAGGGGAATGCATGAAAAGGCCATTGCCAACACGTGGCTGTACACGTGTACGCCTGCATTTGACGCATGTGGTCTGCATTCGTACATTTCTCCCATCCGAATCAGCCCGAATCCACCATTCCTCCTTCTCTGCATCAAAACAGCAGAAACAGATCAAGTGAATTTTGAAATGCTCAAATAACGCGTACGCAGTACTGAATTTCTATAGCAACCACCGCCAACAGTCACCTGTACCTGTCCTAACTAGGCGATCTCTGATCGGTATTCTTTATGGCCATCATCCATATCGACGTTTCAGGGTCCTACTCCTTGTACTTTCCATACGCATGATGCACCTGCACTAGCTACACGTACCCGTACCCGTACTGGGCGTACACCTAGTCGTAGGTACTAGGTCTACTAAGGTTGCATGCTCTACTCTGGGGCCAAAAGCGGTCCACGTCAACCGTCGTCCCGTACATGTCGCTTTTGGTGAGGATCCCATGTGTGGAGATAAGTAGTAGTAGACCTACGCACGAACTGAGGCAGGCGCAGGCCAGCACTAGTCGTGCACCCGCAGGTCCGCACGCACAGCACTTGCACGTGTACATCGATCCTACTGAGAACCCTGAGGCCGTAACTGATGCTGAACACGAACAGCGTTCCGCCGCCGATGTCGATGTCGATGTCGACTCGCCGTCCCAGCTGTCGATGTTCACGCAGTTGGTCACGCAAATGGCGCAAGTGCAACTCACTCAGGCCACACGGCGATTCTCCCAGAAGGTGCCATTGGCTAAACTGCACCCTGGGGACGATGTTGAGGCATTCCTCACCAGTTTTGAACGATCAATGCGTACGTGAATGGTACCTACGTCCCGAGTATCGTTGTCGATACCGCGTGTGGCCGCACCATGGTACACAGGACCTTGGTCCGGGACCAGGATTAGTCAGGTGAGACTACCTCCATTCGTTGTGCCCACGGTGATATGGCCAGTTACCCCATGGCCGATCTGACCATCACCATCGACGGCATGGTCTACTATGTCAAGGCAGCAGTGTCCGAGAACCTGCCCCGTCACGTGTTGCTTGGCCGTGATGTACCCTACATACATGAGTTGGTCCGGCTGTGTCAGCCAGCCGCCACGGACGTCTTGGTCTCTACGCGTGCACAGGCCAAGGCTTCACCTGAGTCGACTGGTGCTGCTGGTTTGCACGACATCTTCCCGTTCGAGGATGAACTGTTTGAGGATGCGGCCTCGAATGCAGCTTCTTTGCGTGCACTGCCGTCGGACCTATCCACCCCACCGGAGGAGACACCGCCGCCTATCTCGGCACCCGATTTTCCAGATGCCACCCGTTTCCCCGATGAGCAACGGCATGACCCATCTCTTAGCCGATGTTGTGACTATGCTACTGGCCAACACAAGACGCCCGTCAATGGCAGTACCTTCTGTGTTCGCCTGGGCCTCCCCTACTGCGAATACTCACCGGATGGTGAAGCTGTGATGAATACCACCAGCCCCTACTACCTCCTTTAGTTGGTTCTGCCCACGGAACGGAGCTCCACCATTCTGCACCTCGGCCTCACTGTCCCCATGGCTGGCCGCGAAGACGTCCCAGAGGATTCTTCTCCGTTTCTGGTGGCCGACGATTCTTCAAGATTTTCACGCAGTATTGTTCCGCCTGTGAACCATGTAAGCGCACCGCCCATGTTCTGCGTCACGATCGGGCACCACTTATTCCTCTTCCTGTTATTGGTGAGCCCTTCCGGGTTGTAGCTATCGATATTATCGGCCCTTTGCAGCGTACACAGTCCGGCAAGAAGTACATCCTCACCATGGTGGATTATGCCAACCGCTATCCGGAGGCAGTCGCTCTTTCCAATATTTGGTCGACTACCGTGGCTGATGCGTTGATGTCCATCTTTTCCAGAGTAGGACTGCCAGACTAAATCCTCTCTGACCAAGCCTCCAACTTTACATCGGACGTCCTCCGGCAAGTTGCTGCTTTACTCCGTATCTAGCTCACCACATCCACTCCGTACCATCAACAGACCAATGGCCTCGTTGAACGGTTCAATGGTACCCTCAAGAGTGTGCTTCGTCGCTTTGCTGCTGATGTGCGCCGAAGTTGGGACGAGGTGCTCCCATATGCTTTATTTGCGTATCGAGAGGTGCCTCAAGCCAGCACTGGTTTCTCACCATTTGAGCTATTGTATGGCCGCCATGTCCGCAGCCCACTGGATCTCGTGCGCGATGCTTGGGCTCAGCCAGCAGAGGAGCTCCGGACTACTACTGCCCAGTTCGTCCTCACCATGCGGGCCCGGCTTGAACAAATATCGACTGAGGCTGGCTCCCACCTTGCCACCGCGCAGCAACGGCAGAAAGCCTACTATGACCGCCTGAGTCGGGAACGCACATTTGCTCCGGGGACTAGGTACTGCTCTTGCTTCCGGCTTCGGCTTGCAAGATGGAAGCCGTGTGGCAAGGCCCTTATCCTGTTCGGCCCAAGGTCGACAAGGTCAATTATGAGATTGAATTGGGATTCCCCCCGCATGAAGCGATATCGGGTTTTCCACATCAACCTCCTACGGAGGTTTAGCCGGCCCCAGCTCGCGGCCTTCACCGTTCCTATGGCTCACCTCTACACGTAGATGGTGGCCGTCCTACCATTAACCCCGACCTTTCGCCGGACCAGCGGCAACAGCTCGACATCCTGCTATCTGAGTTTCAGGATACCCTCTCACCCCAGCCTGGCCGGACGACCGTGGTGGCTCACTCCATCCACACTGGCATTCGGCCCCGGCCATATGGTCTTGCCGCTGCACACCATTCTGTTGTCTGCGATGCCGTGGACGAAATGCTGGACATGGGCGTCATACGCCCATCCCGCAGTCCGTGGTCCTCACCCGTTGTGCTTGTGCCGAAGAAGGACAACTCCATATGCTTCTGTGTTGACCACCGTGCCCTTAATCAGGTGGCCCAGTTCGACTGTCACCCGATGCCGCTGGTGGACAAGATCCTCGACTCTGTCGGGTCTGCCCAGTTTCTCTCCACCCTTGACCTGGCCAAGTGGTATTGGCAGATCCCTCTGGCAGAGGATGAGTGTGCCAAGACGGCCTTCACCACACCGTTTGGCCTGTACGAATTTACTACGATGCCATTCGGGCTCCATGGAGCGCCTGCAACATTTCAATGTTGCATGGATACCGTCTTGGCTGGTCTACCGTTTGTCCTGGCGTATTTGGACGATGTCGTCATTTTCAGTCCGACTTTTGAGGACCACCTTGTCCAGCTCCGCCACGTTCTCGGTCGCCGTCACGATGCTGGTCCCATTGTGAAGTCAAAGAAGTGTTTATTGGCTATGGTCGAAGCTCCCTTCCTTGGCCATGTGATTGGTCATGGTCGGGTGCATGCGGATCCTGGAAAGTTGCAAGCCATCGGCGATTGGCGACAGCCCACGACCAAGAAGATGCTGGTTTCTTCCTGGGGTTGTGCGGCTAGTATCGTCGCCTCATTCCCCACTTTTCAACCATCGCGGAGCCCTTGGTAGCCATGACGTTGAAGGGCCACCCCAACACCCTCCACTGGACGACCTCCGCTGCACAGGCCTTCGTTCAATTGAAAGGCCTCCTTGTCTGCGACCCGGTCATTGTTGCGCCGAACTTTGCTGCGGAGTTCTTCCTGCACACGGACACGTCCGATGTTGGTTTGGGCGCTGTCCTGACCCAGCGTGATGCCCAGGGCACCGAACATCCCGTTGCATATGCCAGTGAACGTCCTCCAGTGCCAGTGAAAGCTCCTCGACCGTGAACGTCGTTATGCCACCATCGAGAAGGAGTGTCTCGCCCTGAAGTTGGCCTTTTTCAAATTTGCTCCGTATCTCCTCGGCAGACGCTTCACCTTGACCACCGACCACCGCCCTCTTCAATGGATCGCTCAGCATCACGGTGGCAATGCTCGGGTGGCCTGATGGGCCACTGCTCTGCAGCCGTTCGCTTTCACCATCGTGCACCGGCCTGGCGCCCTCAATGGCAACGCCGATGGATTGTCCCGCCAGATGTGACTTTCTTCTCCTGCTGTGTTGCTCCTAGCTTCTTCTTCTATTGTTTCTCTCTCATTTAGTCATTGTCCCAGATGGTATCTTGGACCGGAGAAGGGGAATGGTGTGATGATATTGTACCTTTATATCCTTTAGTGCCGTTACATCTTATATGTATATCTATTGTTTCTCGTTTAGTCATTGTCACACTACGGATGGTATCTGTGACCGGAGAAGGGGAATGGTGTGATGATATTGGAACTGTTGCCTGATGATCGTAGTAATACGTGAAACTCAGAGTTGTACCAAAGCTTCCAACCTCGCTCTTGTGATATTGGGACTATATCATATTGGTGCTATTAAATATCCCTATACATATAACTATAACATCCTTCACATCCTCATATTTACACCTCTCCATATATGACATTAGAAGTGCATGCTGCGTACTACTTCCCATACTACCAGTACCTTTTCTAGTACTCACATATTGTACAACTTTATAGTTTCGAACACCAAGATAAAATAACAAGGATGACAGCCCTTCAGGGTTAGTTGTTGGTTAGCGGAATGAGATTGAGTTGTTGGTTTGTCCTCTCCTTCACACGAAGTAATACCGAATGGCAGCCGCTTGAAGTAATACCAGCCAAACGGTTTGATGAATGTAGTCAAGTGCGCAGCGTCTGGCGCGAGCGGCATTTGCCAAACCCCTTAGCTGCGTCTAGTGTTGAGAACAAGGTGGCATC